GGAGGGGCAGGGGCAGAGGGAGAGGGAGAGAATCCTCAAGCAGACTCCCCACTGAGCAGGGACCCCTATGTGGGACTTGATCCCAGGACCCAGAGATCACAACCTGAGCTGAAATCAAGAGTCAGATGCTTAACCAACTGAGCCACCCAGGTGCCCCACTTTCTTGATATTATTACAACTTTAATACAGTCATATTTTCATCCTTGGCTCTAAGCTCTGCTTTTCATGTTACATTTGTCATTAGAAAGAAAGGGCTTATCCATGAGGTCTCTAAACAGTTCACATGGGTTTCTTTGGTCTGCTTCCTGCTTCTTTATTGGGGCCATTTGTGATAGCCCAGTGGAAATTATTTTCTTAGTTCTTCCCAACATATACAGCTGTGTTCCCCCATCTGCAAAAAGATATCTATAAGTTTTCTTTGAATTTCTTGTGTTTTACCTTTGTAAAGACTAGGCCGTATGTAAAGACTAAGACCCAGCCAGACATATATGATTAACTTCTCTTAAAATTCAAATTCAAATATCAGTCTGGGCCTGCTCTTATCATCGCCCTTTCCCATCTTTCCCCTCATCCTCTAAAGTATGAACCAGTTGAGAAGCAAGACTAATAGTTCATTGTGAAATTCTTCCTTAGCAGTAAATGAGATTCAGAAATATTCTAGAACTCCCTTCCCTTGTGTGGGATGGATTGTGCCCTCAGGGCAACCCTTTATGTATTGGGCTACAGCCTCCACAGTTGACCCCAGGGCATTTGGGCAGCCTGACTGCTGGGCTTCAGCCCAGGTTCCTGGTTTTCACTTCTATCCTCTGTTGGGACAGGAGCCGAGATTGAACCTAGTCCAATTGGCTGAGGCTCTGACCCTTTTGCGTAGTTTCTGCCAACTTTTTTTGTTTCTGGTATTTCTACCTTGATCCATATGTAGATCCTTGGGCCAAGATTCTGGTCAACAGGATGCCAGGAAGTCTTGCTTCCCAGAATGCCATACTCTTCCCCTTGCCCTCAGATCAGGCCCTTCAGACTGATGCTGGCCCAAACTGCAGCTGTATCCTCTACAACTGCACCTGTATCCACACTAAGACCCTGAACCTGAACTGTTAGCATTTGCAGCCTGGTTGAATTCCCCTGCCCTGTGCCAGCCACCTCAGCAAAATTCTTTCTCACAGCGAATGCCCACATACCCATCACTTCAGCTAGTACTACTGCTTTGACAAATTAGTCCCTGTTAATGAGAATTAAGCTCAGAGTAGTAGTTTCCCTGATTAGATCCACCACCCTCTGAAGGGTAAAATTGCTGGCAAAGCAAGTGAAAAATTTTCCAGAATTTCAGCATTATCTTAATGGGACTTTGTATGAAGATTTAATTTAGGTTTAGTTGTGACCAAAATATCTTGCCTGTTTAATAGTTTTGTTGCCTATTATCAAAACATTAGTCTAGGCTCCATCTTAGCAGATAGATTATATTATCGTCCCATAATTATATTATTTAAATGTTCTCTAATTTCAGATTTATAGATATTCAAAAGGGTAGCTTTCTTATTTCAAAATAAGAAAGGATTAATTTAGAACAGAGAACAAGTAATATCAACACACACAGAAGCCACAGTGAAATAGTGTCCTGGGATTATAAAATAGAGAATCACTTACATGCCAAATGCTCTGGCATCAACTATACACCAGAGGGGGAAAATCAAGTATTAAGAACTAAGATATTCTAAGAATTAGCATGTAGATACTGGCTTGTAATAAAGCAATAATAAAATGAAGGTTATTATAATACAGTGTAACTAAAATGCTAGCTGATCTTTCCAAGGACAGATAAGTAGCTTAAAATGAATTCTATTTTTTACAGTTTCCTAAATGAAGATCTACATTTGTAAGATATTTACTCAAAATCATTTTTAGCTTAATCTCTTAAGCAAATTATTCTTTGGTTGGGCCAATATTAAATTAAATTTTATTTTGCAGCCCTGGTATACATCTGGCCCTGGATAATATACAGTGGATGAGTTATACACAAAAGAAGAATCATTTGTATGGATGTAGTCAGAGAATAGACAACACTGCAAAATTTACCGCCACCCAACTACAAGCTTATACTTTAGAACAGCACCTTTCCTGAGCCTAGTAAGTGTAAGTGGCTGCACTGTCCTCCTTCAAACCAATATTTGGTTAAATGAAAAGTAATGGCTAGGATGACCCGCTGGCCAATTCCACCTCATCATGCTAAAATAATGACTTGAATTTAAGGAATAATATGTGAAGCAAGATAATATAAGACCACCAAAGAAGTGACAAGGGAATCGCATGGCTGTTTGTCCCAAGAAGCCAGCCTACCTTCCTTCAGTTCAATGGTTGTCCACCAAAGCAGGGCAGGTGAGCGAGGGGACTGAAGCATCGGGTCTTTATTCAACCTAATGTACTCCAGGTCTGCTTTTGAGAATTAAAAACCAAAACTCACATTAAAAACATCTTTAAAATTCTATAATTGAGCCAGAGATCTGGAAATAGAAATATCTAAACAAATTGGGGGTAAGAGGATAGTGCTGTCCTCTAACTCAAGGTTTCACAAAATGGAAGCAGGGAACCCAGCAAGTCACTCGACTTCTCTACACATGCCTGCGGAAGAAAGCGACTTTAATACAAGTTGGTCTTTTTCATGATCCGAAGAAATTCTTCCTCGTTCACTTCACCATCTCCATCTCGATCGGCTTCATCTATCATTTCCTGCAGCTCCTCGTCGGTGAGGTTTTCCCCTAACTCGTTGGCCACGCGCTTTAGGTTTTTGAAAGAGATCTTCCCAGTTTCATCATCATCAAAGAGCCTGAAAGCCTTCAGGATTTCTTCTTTGGTGTCTTTCTCGGCCATCTTCTGAGTCATTACGGCCAAAAAGTCATTGAAGCTGATTTTCCCTGTGCCTTCCTTGTCCACCTCGGAGATTATCTTCTTCATCTCTTCCTTCCTGGGTTCAAAGCCCAGCGCTCTCATGGCCACCTTCAGCTCCTTCACGTCGATGGTCCCACTTCCGTCAGCATCGAAGAGGTCAAATGCTTCGCGAACTTCTTGCTTCTGATCTTCAGTGAGTTCAGGCTTAGGGCCCACCTTTCTTTTCTGGCTGGTAGAGGCCACATTTGACTTCTTAAAGCTGGAAGCCATATTCCTTTGTTGGTTGTTACCTTTAACGGTGCACCGCAGCCGCAGTGCTTGCGCGGGGTGACCTCACCTGGAGCGCATGCGCACGGCCTCTCCCCATTCATTTCCAAAGCTTTCCCTCGTGCTCTCCCAGTGAGACCTGCCTCACTAAGCCCGCCATGTCTACGAGATTTTATTGATGTTATAATCCACGGTTCCCTCGATTATCACCCAGTTTACACGAGCTGAGACGTGGGTTGGCAAGAAGTGACTGTAGCCACAGTTGTCTTCCATAATGTTTGCCTCTTGCTGTTCTGTCCAGGCCATTTGCCAGCATCCAGAGGACCAGGTTTATAGGGTTATTTGGAAGTCCTTCTTCTCTCCTCTTCTATACAGATTAAAACAAACAAGCAAAAAAAAAAAAAAAAAACCCTCTTGGAGTTAAAAACAAAACAAAAAGCCTCCTCTTAGTCTGAAGTTACCTAAGGCTAAATTTAGGATAATCAAGATGGAGCTTGATCCCTTGGCATTAAATGTGGGGAAGAAGGAGAGAGAATATTAAGGCACAGCATGTGTTCAACTTGACATAAATGGAAAACAGATAAAATGGAAAAAGTTATGTATAAAATTTGTAGAAGTTTGTCTTCTGACATTACACTCAACAATAATAAAACTTCACTGGCTTATTCAGCATATGCCGAAATATGAAATGTAATATCCAAATGTATGATTTACTTTCAGTGTTTCAATTTTACATACTCAGTGTAATTACACTCGAATAACAGTCTTAATTTCATTCACTAGGCTTTTCGTTTGGAAAGGGGTTGAAATACTACTTTCTGGTATTTTTTTAAAGACTCTAGCAGCATATTATTACTCTCACTGTTTATCATCTAGTTGGGGCTGTGCTGAAATCCCCACTCTCATAGCCCTGCTTTGGCAGTGGAAATGGGAGCGTATGATGCAGTACATGTTGGGACTAAAAATTGCCTCCTGAGAACAAAGGAGCAAGAGAAAAATGGGAGGTTTTTAAGTGAAAAGAAAGGAAAGAGTCATCAAGTAGGCCCATAAAAGGAATTGCTTTTAAAATTGCTGTGTGTTTCTTTAAATATATTTTGAAGATCTGACATTTTAGCATTCTTTTCCCCTGCAAACCTCAACTTATTAGTACTTGATCAGTTACAAAGAAGGCACTTTCAAAAGTTTTTATTGAAGAGTTTTTATATCCCCAGTATCTAGAACAGTGCTTGACACATAGTAGGTAGATTAATAAATATTTGTTGACTAAGTGAATGAGAGTTACTATTGGTTTTAAAATACTTCTGAATTGTCCAAATAAAACCAACAACCTCCCCCCCAGATTAAATTATGCTGGGAGTGTTTTACAAATTCAGTGTTTTGTTTTGTTTTTTTAAATTAGTGAGCAGATATTGTTTACATGATCTGTTTAATAGCTAGATCTTACTACCTGCCCCAATTGATATGTGACATAATGGACAGAGGGCCTGAGTATAGGGTTTCTAAAAGTCAGGGTAACTTACCTCTGGCACCTCCCACCTCTTGCCTCCCAGCACTTGTCACAGTGTCAACCCAAAGTAGACTTGGCAAGTAGACACTGCCATTGCCCATCTTTCAACACTGCAAATCCTCCTGTTTTCTTAACCAGGTCAAAAAGCCTGGGATCTTATCCCAACCCCATGCCTTGTTATCTCTGTGATTCGAGAAAGTCACTTAACCTCCCAGACTCAGTTGAGACATTTGCAGAGTAGACATAATAATATAGCTTCCTAATAGGGCTCCTGTGCATGTTCAGTGAGCTACTCCAGGAATTGTTCCCTAGTGGGGACCAAACAGGGCTGGGTAATTGTTAGTTGAATCTGGATTTTTCCTAGACATTGTGCATTTCTTTTGACATCCGCTCCTCTGCCCAAATTCAAGCCAAGCTATGATGTGTTGGGAAAAATTGAAGGATAGAAGCTGCCTTATATAGAGCTACATTTGGGCCAAGCTGAGCTCAAAGCAAAACGGTTGTCATAGTTTCCAGATGTGTGCAATCAGCAGTCACAACTAGGGGCCACCAAGAGCACCCTTCATAGAAAACAGTGCCCTCAGCCAGAGTCAGATGTTGGTGCAGAGTTACTTTATATTCATAATCTGTAATCTGATTTAAAAAGGGAAGGGAAACTTACATGGATTGTATGCCTAGCATTGCGCTTGCTCCTTGCATTTGGTCTCATTAAATCCCTGCCATCATTTCCCCACTCTGCAATGAAGAAAAATGAGGCCCAGGAGAGGTCGGTAACATATCCAGTGGTACACAGCCAATAAATGGTGGCTCTGGGATTTTAAACCTTGGCCTGTCTGAGTCCAATGCTGAGGCTTTGTTCACCACAGCATGCTGCCTTCTCTAAAAATTGAGATTATTACCAAGATGTAGTATCACTGGGAATATATGATCCTGCTTTTCTTCCCTAAATGTATCAATAATTAAGCATCTTGCCTAGAAAGATTTAACAGGATTTTCTAGGATCTCAGATGGGGTCTCATTCTGGGGTAAGCCAATGAGAAAAAGAGCAATATGCCTGGTATTTACATTTATTTTTCCATTCTGCCTCATTCCATTCCTTGCTTTCAGCTTGTGGTACAAGGTAGTGAGAAGTAGTCTGGGCAAAGTGCTTTCAGTTGTCATTAGTGAGAGTCTATATAGTGCTTATGAAAATCAGCTTCATTGCCTTCAAGTCACGTTTTAAGTTCTAATGAGACCAACATAAAGTAAATGAGATGTCCTGGAAAATCAATGGATAAGAGTGGTTTGGTTTTGTTTTGCTTTTGCCCTTAAAGCTTTTGTACTATAATGTCCTAGGTAATACGCTAAATCAGTTGTCAATTTTCTGAGAGGGGAGAGGAGATGCTTGTTTAATGGAATGGTCATGGAAGCTTAACAGCTGGAAGGGGGTAAAAAAAGAGGTGCCGGAATTCCACAACAGGGTCTGGAGTTAGTCAAGACCAAGAGAAAGGACCCATGCAGCTTGCTTATTCTAATTATTTGGTTTTCCATTTGACCTGCATGGCATGAAAAAAGGTGAAGCTCAGGAGTCTTTTAAAATTTAAGTTGCACTCAGCAAATTCAGCAAATTCCAGGTGCCACCCAAGGCAGAAAACATGCACAATAAAGTTTCTTTATTGCTGCCTATTTACTTTCCAACAAATGCAGAACAGAGAAAATGCAAATGTTTGACACTTGTGCATAAGCAGGACAACTGTGCCAGTGTGGTGGATGGGTGATTCCCAAACCAACAGTAACAGAACTACACTATTTATTCTTGAATACGTGGAGCCATTTACAAGAAATGGCCTCAGCAGCAAGAGTTTTACAATCCCGGTGGTCTCTGAATGAGACTATGAAGTCCAGTCCAGTGACTCAACCCAAGCCTTTTTGGCAAGCCCAGGAATAGAATTAAGTGTCCAGCCAAAGGCTACATAATTGCTCATTTCATGAACCCCAGAAATAAAGAAATACTCCTCTCAGATATAAAATCAGACTGTGTTTTAGAAAAGTTTACCAGAATCTCACACTGCTTCTCAAACTTTCATCCAAATACTCCTAATAGCAAAGGAGGTATAAAGCACTTCTTTGGGATCCAGGGAAACATTTGGAAGAAGCCTACACCAAGCATGAAAGGTCTTTATAATTCCATATTTTATCTTTAAAAAAAAGGATTTTGCTTTTTGCTTCATAGCACATTTGCCAATTCTATTATGGTTTTAAATGATTGACCATCAAGCAAATTTGATTCCCTCGAAGAAAATGCACTGTACTTATTTTGTGACTTTAAGTATACCCCAAGGACGTGAGCAGGGGAGAGGAGAACTTTATGTGTTTTAGCAAACTTGGATGGAGGATCTAATGTAGAGCTTGAGATGGAAAAAATAAAGATTGACAGTGTTTCCCTTCCGCTCCCAATGAAGATCCACTCCACTTATACATCATTTGGATTTGGAAGAAAAAAAACAGGAGGAGGAAGGAAAAGTGTGGGGAGGAGAGGAAGGAAGATAAATGAATGTCCAGAGCATTTGAACTTGAGAGGTGGAGTGAAATTAAATGCATCCAATGAAAGAATGACTGCCCTCTCTTCCCAGAGCCCAGATCAGTCCAACTTAAGCATTGCTTTGATGGAAACAAGCTGAGAAAAGATACAATCTATGTTGATATAAACTCAAAGCAGAACCTCACGGGATTTATGAGCCAGCAGTCATACTACCCTGCTGTCTGAAGAGGGCCCACAAGTGCGGGCAAATGACAGAAAATGCAGAACCAAGAGGCCTGGAAGTGGCTTGCTTGGATTTTTAAAATATCTCCTAGACTAAGCTATTGATTTACCCTTTGATCCACCTTCTTTTATTCTCCAAGGCCCCTGAGACATCAGCATCTAAACTGGCTCCGAGGCTGTTAACCGAGGAGAATTTTCTGCTTACCAGGGATAGAAAGGTCAAAAGCCCACAGGGGTGTTCGTAACACAAGATGAGCCAAGTGGGCTGCATGTTCAGGGTGTATTTAGGGATTAGCAGTGACCTGGAGAGTTTGTGCCCTTTTAAAAGACATTGAAATTCAAATTTAAAAACAGAACAAATGAAATGACTGCACAGGCCCAAGAAAACAGGTCTTGCGGAAAACAGGTCAGGCAGAACTTGGCCTTTCGACTGCATGTTGTTCATCCAGGCCTTGTACTGGCCACTTCTTCTGCTGGGGTTCATGTACTAAGGATGCTTTTCAGAGAAAAGGACAGAGAGAGGGAAAATTGAATCCTAGCTCAAAGCCCATTCATGCCTAGTTCCTTGAGTACAGCATAAAGATCGTTACTGAAGGACAGACCATGCTATGAGCCAGCCCAGTAGGGGAAAGTGACCTGCTACAGATGGAGTGCTAATCTGTTTGATTTTCTCCCCTGAACCAGCTTGGAGAGGAGGAGCCCTCTCTGCTTGCCGTGTCTCTGTGTCCTTATCCACCAGCACCCCTTTGGCCTAGAGGCCCCTGTGTTTGGCAG